ACTCTGGGTGTTTTTCTTAATAAGAAAAAAAGAAACAGGGGCACCTGGGTGGCTCAGTCGGTTAAGCGTCTGCCTTTGGCTCAGGTCATGATCTCAGGGTCCTGGGATCGAGCCCCGCACCAGGCTTCACTGCTCAGCGGGAGTCTGCTTCTCCCTCTGCCCCTCCCCACCTCATGCTCTCTCTCTCTCCCTCCCAAATAAACAAAATCTTAAAAAAAAAAAAAAAAAAAGAAAAAGAAAAGAAAATACATCCTGCAGCTCCAAGGGGAGAAAAGGCCATCAAAGCTTGCTCTGTACAAAGGCCAACTGGTGGATATTCAATGGGTGATGGACAGTGGTCAGCTGGGGCCAGCTCACCTTGTCCACAGAACACGCATGTAAGGAAGGAAGAGAAGTGGGAGATGGCAGAAAACACAAATGTTGGGCGCCCCCACATTAATAGCCCGAGGTGGGAACCCAAATGTCCACCAACAGATCATGAATTGTTAAAAAGTGGTATGTCCACTTATTTAGCCAGAAAAAGGAATTGGCAGTACTGATAAAACACGCACCGCAAAAACACCAGGCTGAGTCAAACAAGCTAGAGGCCCAGAGTCACATATTATCTAATTCTGCCTACGTGAAATGTCCAGAACAGGGAAATCCACAGAGATAGGATGCAGATTGGCCGTGGCCGGGGGCTGGTCGGAAGGGGAATGAGGAGGGACTAGCGATGAGTGTGGGGTTTCCTTTCGGGGTGACGAAAATGTTACAGGTGGTGGTTGCACAACATTGTGGATATGCTAAATGCCACTGACCTCATCACTTGAAAATGGTCAATTATGTATTATGTGACTTTCACCTCAATTTAAATCTTTCTTTTTTTTTAAGGCAGAGCTTAAAAACAGGGCAACTCCAGGAAAGCCAAGGGGCAGGAGAGAGTCAGAGACCTCCCACAGCCCCTCCTGTTACTGCTTGGTTAGGACCTGTCCCAGAGCTCTTGCTTGTCGACTTAGAGAAGGCTCACCTCAAGTTCAAAGGCCGGGGCATGCCCTTCAGGACAGGGCCTGGCAACCGCCCCACACAGAAGCTCCCAGCAGCAGGGGAGAACAAGTCAAGGGCAAGGCACAATGGCAGAGCGACAGAGCAGCTCAAGAGCTGCTGCAGCCAGGAGGTCTCAAAGGCAGACCTCCTGAGCAAGGGTCTGCCCAAGGCTGGTGATAGGGACGGGAGGGGACGCACCAAGATTTCTTGCGCAGCCAGATGACAGGGACCAGCAGGAAGCCTGGGGAAGCACAGGTAAGGACAACTGAAGGCTGAATCAGGACCCAGGGAAGTGTGGAGGGCCCGGCTGTGGAGGACAGAGGAGTGGGAAGCTCAAGCTCATAGTGGGCGGGCGGGGGAGGGGGGCGCTGGGTGTCGATTTCTGTGTGTCCCCGTGGGGGGCCAGATGGAGGGGCGGAAAGTCAGGCCAGGCTTGCTTCAGGCTGCAGACAGAGGACGAGGGACAGAGGAGGAGTGGACAGAGAGGTAGGAGGGAGACTGAGGAGGCTGAGGCAGCTGGGGCGGAGGGCGAAGGTGGAGGGGTAGAGTTGGGGCACACCCAGCACAGCCCAGAAGTCCTCTGGTGACCGCAGGAAGCTGGGCGTCCTGAGATTAGGGCGAGGCAGGAAGGCCTGGGAGGATGTGGGCCCGGAGAAGGAAAGTGGACAGGAGGGTACATACGGACACACATGTGAACACAAAAACACCAGATGTGGACGCCTGCCCTGGTACACGCGGACATAGAGAAACTGCCCTGCCACAGACGGGAGCAGACGTACAGACACTGGCACCAGCACGTGTCCACACGTGCACAAACAGGCACAGATGCCTCCGGCCATGCACACTTGGGACGCGTGCAGAAACACAGCCAGGCACACAGCTGATTTTGGACAAAATCGGATGCACGTAGGGCCGCAGAGGCCCAAGGACGCATTGGGACACATGGATTCATGTGTGGACAGACAGACATACACACTTTCTGGCTGAAACAGGCCCATCTGCAGAGATGCACTCAGAGGTCAGCACTGATTACAAGCACGGGCACCTGGAGAGCATCCCCATTGGCATCATGACGGATCCCCCCTGAGAAAGCAGCTCTGAGCACCACCGTCTGCGGCATCCTTGGCTCCAGAACACCAGCACCAGGTTCTGCCTGGGAAAGTGAGACAAACCATGGCCATTGCCCAACACACCCACTGGGCCCAGCCCGGGGTCAGGAAGGAGCCAGGGCCAGGCCTCGCGTGCCTGCCCACACATTCACTCCCCGCCACCGACGCAGACGGCTGGGATTGCGAGGGAGCTTGCAAAACCATCCCCATCCCTCAGGGTTCAGCTAAAGTGTCCCTTCCCCCAGGGAACCTCCCCAGGCTATGCCCAATGTTAACCTTTTTGAATTCTCATTTTGCCATGCCCAGCTCTGTGACCTCGGGCAAGCACCTTCTCCTCTCTGTGCTCAGTTTCCTCTCAAAGGCAGGGTGGGTAATGAGAACGTGCTTTGAATACACGAATGAATGGAGCACATCCCTTTCCCACCTCTAGCACAGCTGGGGGCATCAGCCTCCTGGTACTCAGTCAGCTAGCCGCAGGGGGGCTGCCCTCCTGCCTGGTCCCTTCCCGCCAGGTGGGACATCTGAGAAGGTAAGGGTTTATTTTCCCTTCTACACAGGACCAAGAAGCCAGCTTTGGGGTGACTTGGCAATGAGCACGGAACCAGACAGCCCTACCTGGCAGAGGCAAGGATGATTCAGGGTGCCCCCACCCTGAATTTCTGCTCAAATAACTTCAAGGAGGACTCACAAGGTCATTCGCCCTGTATGGGCAGGTAAAATCTGAGAGGGTCAAATGAGCCACTGTGGGTACCTGCCTGAGCTTTCCTCATCTCCCATCCCCACCCACCTAAGAGCACTCCCCACCCCAGGTTCACATCCTCCCAGCAGATGCCAGACACTAGGCTGGCAGTCGGAGGGCTGAAAGCACCTTTCTACTCCCCCAAGGGACTGTAGGCAGGGCCTTCCCCAGGCATGGGCTGCCATCTTTATGAGGATGGGCACTTGGGCTCTGCAGTCTGGGACCTTGACCCCTGCACTCAGGAATGGCTGTGCTGATGTGGACAGGTGCATGAGTGTGCCCAGGGTTGGAAGGACAAGGACATGGACTATGTGCCAGTGAACACCCCCAACCTTAGTTATGAATGATCCAAGCTGAGCCTAACTCCAGGCCTGGGCTAACCAGACAGACTTCCTTTGTTCTGTAACTGTCCAGGGGCTCAGGTGGGACAAAAAGGTGATTCTGTGAGGCTCCGCCACAGCCTGGGACAGCTTAAGCCCTGTCTGTGTGATGGCACCCACAGCATTAGACAAGTGTGAGGCCAGGGTCACATCCCCCTTTCAGCGGAGTGTGCGCCAGTCACTTCCCAAGCCCTGTGCTCTGACCCCAGGTGGGTCCTGGGGTCCCTGGCAATCCCAGAGCAGATCTCCCCATTTATAACCTGTTGACGGCCAAGCTGACCCAGTGACCCCCAAGGACCCTAATGCCCAGGGAGCTAAAACCCCTCCACACTGACCTGGGTCCAAGTCAGAGTAGACCACTGGAGCCCCCTTACCCAGGCCAGTCCTATGGGAAGCACCTGGCACCAATGCCAGATTAGGGCCTGGTTTGAGAGACTAGGCAAAGCCTGATGCACCTGGAAAGCCAGGATAACAGAAATACCCAAATTAGGCAGTGACTCACAAGCAGACAGATGGACAGAACCCCCCAGAGCTGAACATGGGGCCCAGGAGCTCTCTACCTACAGAGTTGGGAGCCCCAAGGATTCTGGTTCTAAAGCCCCCACTTAGCCCAGGACATCCTGTGAGCCAGGGTCCAAGTTGTGCCCTCCAGAGAGAAGCCAGAACTCCCTCTTCCCCCTGAAAGTCAAACTACAAAGCAATGACCCCTTCCCAGCGCCAAGAAGTAGAGGGGTACTGAAGGACCTGCCTCCAAGATCTTGATACACATAAGGAAACAGAGGCTGAGGGGAAGGGGCTGGCCTAGGGTCCCTGACCGCTCACTCACCGGGCTGGCCTTTGCTGCGCTCTGTTCCTGTGATCTGCAGCCCCTGGGTTCCCAGGGGCAGGGCAGGCACACTGCCAGAGGACTGGCCCCCATTCTGGCTTTTCTGGGGAGCCACGGTGACCTCTGAATACGCCGAAGTCACACCCTTCTTCCCTTCGTAAGTGCGGGCGGGTCTGGGCTGAGGGTACCTGATAACCTCCCCCGGGACATCTGTAGGGTCCCATCAGGCTCACAGTGGAATCCTGGTCTTACGGAGTGAGGAGGCACCCCCTCTACGACAGGAAACCTGGGCCCACGCGCTGAGCCTCTGGCCCAGGAAGGCAGCCTGCGAAGGCAGAGTGCTTTGCAGGTGGCCTCTATGCCCATCCTGTCATTCTAGCACCCAGGTCCCCACTCTGGCTGGCCCCCTCCCACTACTACTCCAGGAAAGCCCTGGTGACAAGAACTAATTGATCTCTTGGCCAACAAGGACTCCTGTGAGGGACCTCCATGACTCAGGCATGGTCCAAAGGCAAGCAGGCAGCAGCCTGGAAGAAGGGTGCTTTTGGGTCCTCCTTGAGGGGTTTCACAATAGCCCAGTCACACCCAAGGTGGCAGGGAAGGCTGGGGGACCTCCAGACAGAAGGATCTCAGAATCTCTAACCACGTTCAGTACTTTCTGGGCTATTCCAGAAGCAGCAAGGAAGGCAGGAAGAGGCTGGGCTTCAGAGGCAGGTAGCCATGGATGGGAATCAGGTGACCTTGGCTAAGTCACTTCTCTTCTCAAAGGTTCAATTTCTCTCAGAGGTGAGAACTGAGTCAGGTGAGCTCAGCCGGAGCCGGCAACGTAGGGACAGAGCAGGACTTCCGGCAGAGGGGCTGGGAGGAGGAACAGAGCAGCCATGTCCAAACTCAGACAACACCCACTGGCCACAGCCCAACCCTTCATTACTCCAAGGCCTTTATTAAGTCAATAAAAAAGGGAGAGAGATGTAAAAATACTTTTCTCGGAGGCCCCCAGAGGGGCAGGCACTGTCAGAATCACCCGGCCAGGGAAGGCAACCCAGCCAGAGGCAGAAAGGAAATCAGGGCCCTATCCAGGGAGCAGCTGGCCTGGGGCACTGAGGGTGGGGGCGATGGCTCGGACCTCAGGCAGGGAATGTGCAAACGCTGAGGCCGGGCAGGGAGTGATGGGGTGAGGGGTTCCCAGAGGAAGCCCAGAGCACCGTGTTCCCTTGCGTGGGCAGACACGCGTGTCCACGTGAGAGCCAGTGCCTGCACGCAGCTTATACACAGAGAGCAGAAGGAGGGGTGCCCGGCAGGAATGGGGGCGGTGGGGAGGGCTCATCCCAGAGCTTGAGGAAATAGCTTAGAGAAGTCTCTGGAAGACTGGGGCGAAGGGAGAGCGAGGTGGCCTCAGGAGCCCTGGCCGTCCTGCCGTCGCTGGAGGACTTCAATGACACTGCCGATGCCGTCCTCAGGCACCTGTGGGCAGAGGGAGGGGTCAGGGCCACGCTGACCTCCTGGCCTAGACAGACTACATCCTGCACCCTCCCCACCCTCCCCGGCCTCAGTGTCCTTCCAAGAGCCCAACCCATGGTGCTCACCAGGGCATGGTCAAAGTTGAAGGTGCTGATGTAGTAGGCAGAGATGTCGGCCGCAGCCAGGGGGCCTGCGATCTGGGCCACGATCCCACACTCATCTGAGGGTTATTGGGAGGATGGGGGGAGTCCATGTGGATCATCCTGGCCACCCCTCCCAGGTCCTCTCCAAGTCCCCAACATGAAAGAAGCAGCCCTCACCAAAGCCCAGAGGCTGTCCACCGATGCGTACCATCCTCCACAGCTCTCCTGAGGAGCTGGTCAGCAGGAGGTCACTGGGGAACCTGGAGAGGCAGGTGGGTAGTGGGCAGGGCACCCACCCATCCCCTCCCTGCCCCAATGTGAGCCCCTGGAAGCAGGGCGACCTGGTGACCTCAGAGTCTGATGCTCCACCTCCCCCCTCCCTAGTGCTGTGCTTGGGATCTCTGGTCCCCAGGGCCTAGGGGTCACATACTTTTTCTGAGTCTCAGCGTCCATAACGATGGAGATGTAGCCCTCAATGAGGGAGAAGGCAAAGAATGTAATGGAGCTGGGTTCAGTACCACCAGAGGCTGCCTCCTTGGGGGCACTGGAAAAGGACAGGAGGCTCAAGGGCTCTTCAGGGCACTCAGCCCACTGCATGTCCTCCCACTCCCTGGGCCGCTTTCCTCCCCTGTCTGAGGGACCTGGTCTCCTGATGGGGGTGGGAGGCAGGAGAGGACGAAGAATCTCACCTCGTCCAAAGACACTGGACCCCCTGGGATTGCCTGACTCAGGGTTGTCTCAGTTCACACTACAGGAAAGGGCTGCACCTGGGGCATTGGGATCTATCCTGAACATCAGTCAGGAGTACGTGGTTACCCCAGGCTGCCAGGAGCCCAAGACACAGAACAGGGCACAGAGCGGCAGAATGGTGGGACACAGCACAGGGAACAACCGTGTGAGGACAAAGACATGAGGTGCCAACAAGGCGCACCTGTATGAGTAGAAGAGGACATCGATGAGCGTGGTTGCGATGGCTGGCAGGGTCTCAGGGTCCAGGGTGAGGACACAGAAGCGGTTCTGTGGGCTCTGGATGGGATGCACCGTGGGGCTGGGCCCTGCTAGGAGGGACCAGGTAGTGGCTGTCAGGGCGACTATGGGCTGGGGCGCCGCCTGGTGGCCAGATAGGGAGGGGCCTGGGAGGGATGTAGGATCATGCTCTACGGGAACTTTTTCCACTTGTGCTCTTTCCACCACATCTCCCTATCTTGGGAGGCAGCCGGTGTCAGCCGGTATCCCCATGCCTACAGACCAACCCTCACAAGGGAAGGGGCCCAGTAGGAAGAGGAGGCCCTCCCTAGGTCTGGGTGTCAGAGGAAAGCCTCACCATGCTGAGAACGGGGAAAGCCATTGCTGGAATCATCCCTGGCAACAGGTACAGGCTCCCCGCCCACTTCTCGGTAAATGTCAAACTCCTGGGATAGAGTGTGGATCACCACGGACAGGTCCTGCTCCCGAACCTGGACCACAAGGGGACAAGGTATCATGTTAGTGCCCAGGCCCCCAGGCCCACTCTGCCCCGCCCTGGAGCCTGCCGAAAACTCACCAGGATAAAGTCCGTCTGGTAAGTGGACAGCATCAGCACAGACACATGGTGCTCCGCCAATGGCGCAATGACTGAGCGGGCGATTTTGGTGACCCCAGCAGCCTGCACTGCTGCACCGCTGCGGGATGACACGTTCAGCACCAGCCATGTGGCCTCAGCCACTTGAAGGAACTCAGATGGGGGAAGCTCTGTGAGCAGGAAGCACACACCATGTCAGAGCCTACGGGGCGGGCCCTGCCCGTTTCCCTGTCTGTGGTGGGGATGAGGGGACGGTGGGGTTCTACCAAGGTAAGGGCAGGTCTGGAGACGGGGGCTGTCTCCCTCTCCCAAGTTCTGCTCCGGAGAACTGCCTGTGTGCAAGGACTGCAAAGTGCTTCAAGTGCTGGCCTGCTAGGGATGGAAACTTCCCAGTTAAGACTGGAGCTCCAAATTCAGACAGACCTGGGTTCAAATCCCAGCTTCACCATTTACTTGCTGTTGACCCGCGGTAAATGATTTAACTTTTCAGAACCTCAGTTTCCTCATCTGTAAAATGGGATGAGAGTGTTTATACCTCATGATGGCAGTCTGTGGGTTAAGGCTTTATATCACGTGGAACCACCAGGGGGCGCAAGCAAATCAGGTTAGCTGAGGGATGCCCTTCTCCCTCCGCAGACCCAGACTTTCCTGCAGTACAAACCGGGAAACTAAGGCCTGAAGGGCTGCAGTGGAGGATGGGCCAAACCTCAGTTTCGTGGCCTGATGCTGCAGGCCCGTGAGGAGGGGTCAGGCTGGCAGGAGTAGGAGCCAGATGTCAGCTTCAGAAACCAGGGAGGAATCAGGCTGGCGTCCAGTCCAGAGCAGGAGCCAGAGCCCGGGTGGCTGCTAATCTCCCAAGTGCAGCCAGGAGGCTCCCCAGGACCCTGAGGTGGGCTGGCTGCCCGCTCCTGCTTTCCTTTCCCAACCCTCCGACTCCTGGAGTTCCCAGACCAGCCAGGGAGGGGGTGATCGGCACCAGAGAGAGAAGTCCAGGGAAAAATAATGGCTAGGGGGATATAACTGGCACAGGAACTCCTGATTTTTGCTCTGAACTGTAACTGAGGCCCAGCTACTGGCCTGAGGCTGCTAAGTGCCCTTCACAGCCCTGTCTAAAAAGTTCTCATGGGACCCTATTAGATCAGAATCATAACTATGCCATTTTACATAAGAGGAAACAAACAGCTCAGAGAGAGGAAGTGACTTGCTCAAAGGCACACAGCCAGTGAGTGGTAGTAGTCGAATTCGAACCCAGACCCATCTGCCTTCAAAGCCCCAGCTCTTGTGACTTTGGATCCCAGGATCTAGTGAGAATCCCACAAAGAGGGGAGCACATCCTTCCCCAGCCCTGCCCCCACCTTTGAAGCCCTCCTCGTCCACCATGAGCGTGTAATCCTCTGGGGTCTCCGTCAGACTGAAGAACTTGCACCTGGATGAGGGTGGGGGGCATCTTCAGCCTGGGTTGGGCGGAGGGGGCAGGCAGGATCTCGCTCCAGTTCGCCCAGAAAGACCCTGCTGAGCCCCTCCCTGCCCCCTCAAGCCTCAATTCTCTCTCCCGCGCCAGTGGGTGTGGGCCTTATCACCGGAATCACGAAAATCACTGTTTTTCGTCTCCGGACCTCTGTAGAAGCTCCCAACCCTCCATTCCGGGAAGGAGGAGAGGCTCACCCGCGACTGCAGCTCTGGGGGTGTCGGACTTTGGGGCCCCTAGACCAGCCCCTCTGACCCGATGGGAGGCATCTGTAAGAAGCTCCCCGCAGTCGCCAGGAAGGAACTGCCCCCATTTGACACCACTTGGAGTTAAGCATTGCTCACCCCAGGTTGTTTGCGCTTTAACTGGCCCTGGGAGGGGGCCTCACGGCGCCGGATAGGCGCGGCGGTCCCAGGGAGGGTAGGCCCAAGCCGGATGGCGGCGGGAGGAGGGTAGGAAGGAGAAGCGCCCTCCCCGCCCGCTCCCGCTCGCCCTGCGGCGATGTTAATCCCCCGAACCCATCCCGGATCAACAGCGGAGCCCACCCCCACCTGTGCCCCCGAACCCGGGCGCGCACCGGCTGCGGCGGGGCAGGAAGAGTAGCTTGATGAGCGGGTGGGTGTAGAGCCAGAGACCTGGGCGAGCGAGGCTCAGCACCCGCACCCGGTGCTCCAGGATGTGCAGCTCCATCACGGTCCGCGCGGACCTGACCCCGCTGCCAACCAGACCCAGGCCGCCGCCGGGGGCGGGGCAGCAGGGGCGGTGCCGGGGGCTTAAAGGAGCCGCCGCGCGGCCGCGTCCTTGCCGCCAGCTACGCGGCGGACCCTCCCAGCCCCACGCCGCGTCCAGTTTCCTGACAGCCACGCCCTGAGGGGCGGGCGGCCTATCCAGAATGGCCACGCCTCCTTCTTAGGGCCGGAGCCTCATCCCTTAGGTTCCAGCCCGCTGAGCCCCGCCTCTGATGACTCCGCCCCTTTAGGATTGATTCGCGGATCACAGGCTGATCCCACACCGCTTGAGTCCTCTATGCCCCGCCCATGCCGCGCCCCGTCTCGGGGGCTCTGCGTTTTCCGTAAGTCGCCTTCCTCGCTGGGGTCGGAAACAGGAAGGAGATGGGGAATGGTTTCTGTCCTTCAGTCTTATGATTAATATCCTTGAAGTTCCGAAGCGCCGCGACACGAACCGGGGTTCAGTTGGGTCCAGAGTACTGCCCAGAAAACTCTGGAGTATGGAGGGATAGGGATAGGGATAGGCTGTGCAGCCCTGGTGACTGATTCTCTCCCCACAAAATGTCCTTTCTCCCTCCTTCCCCTTATGGAGGAAGAAGGCGAGTACTCAAAAGGATCATAGAGATAGGGAGGACCCCAGCCACTTATATTTGAGTAACATACTGTGGGCTACGTAGGGGATGAAGGTGGCCAGGCTTATGGCTTGAGACCCTTCAAGACTAAGTGCTTGGGCCGGGCATGCCCAAAGGACCAAACTTCAGGGGACAGGCCCATGTATCTGGGGCTCACTGGGTACTCAGATCTCAAACCTGAGATTTGAGCCCTCCTGAGGCCTCCCAAAGCCTGCAGCCATTAGCAGAACCCAGTTGGCCCCAGCACATGTAAACTTGCTTCATGCCCATGGAGGCCCCCAGCACTGGCAGATGCCCCAGATCTGAGGCTTATTAGACTAACTTGGGGTCATTTCAACATTAGACCTGGGTTCTGCTCTGGCTGCCTCACATTTAAGACTCCAAGGCTAAGCAGGTATCAACACACTTAGGCTGGCCCTGTAGCAGAACAGACACAGCATGCTCTGGGGGGACTTTGGCTTGAGCATCCTCAGGCTTCAGATCTGAGGCTTTGAACCAAACAGGTTAAAGCCGGCCTCCGGCCTGACTTGGGACCCAACAGGCCTACACAAGCCTCTTGCTCAAGAACCTCTACTGTAGGTGGATGGAAGCTGGGCAGCACCCTCCAGCCCTTGACTCTCTGGCTCAAGGGATCCCTGGAACACTGCGGCTGCCATATCCTGGCCGAGCCCCTGGAGAGCTGGGGGGAGGGGACTGTCCTAAAGCCTGTCAGGGCAGGTACAGAAAGGTGGGAAACCATAGGGGTGAGGGGTAAGGGGCAGAAAATGGGTAGCTGCCCTGATAGGCTCATATGACACTTGACCTCCCTAGGCCTCAGTATCCCCAGCTGTATCAGGACAAGATGTTCCAGGCCCAGGCCCTGTGATGCCTGAAAACTCCTAAGGAGGCTCTTCTCCCTCTCCCACCCCCTCCCACCATGGCCCAGCCCAGCTTGGTAGCCTGCCAGGAACAGCCGCTATTGTTTGACTGGAAAAGCTGCTTCCTCAGCAGAAGGGGGGGGGGCCTTTCCCAGGGACACCCTGTCCTCACCCTCACCAGTCATCAGGTTGTGACCGTAGCGCCTGCCTGGGCCCTCAGTGGCATTGCCAGGTCACTAGGAACCTTGGTCAGGAAAGGTAGCTGAGGGGTTTTAGGTGCAAATCGACCAGGTTCATCTTTCCCACTCAGCTCCTGCTTCCTCATCTGTAAAATGGAGACAGTAGAGCCTACCTGATCGGCTAGTGACATACCAGCCCAACGTGGCACATGCTAAGTGTTCAGGAAACAGCAGGCAGCCTTCTATCAAAGACCCAAACTTCTTCCCTCATCCCTGTGTGTCTAATGGAGGCTTAGACTAGGCATGTAAGGGCATTCATTCATGGTCCCTGACCCCTGGTGCCAGCACTCAACCCAAAATAAACACTCAGAACCTCACTGGGGTTTGAAGTGGCATCCAGGCAAGGGGCCTTGATGGAGGAAGCCCCTGGAAAGACCTCCTTAAAGAGCCCCTCCCCCTCAGAGATGGGTAGGTGTCAAGGCCTGGGAAGCAGGCCCTGCTCTGCTCCAGCACTGCGCTCTAGCTCTGGTGACCCTCCTCCATGGCAGACTGGTGGACATGGGGCAGAGGGGATGGGGTGAGGGAAAGTGTGGGCCAGGAACAAAGACTGGCCTATGACAAAGGTACTTCTGAGAGAGGCTCTTGTGCTGGGCTGGGGGCCAGGATGGGGGGCTCTGTAGGGTAGAAAGAAGAGGCGCTGAGCACCAGGGGTGGCTCCCCTTCCCAGTCCCTAGCCACACACATCAACTCTCTACACAAGCTTGTTTATTTCTGTACAAAATCATGTTTCTATTTTACACAAAGAGCACCCCACCCTTTACCCCACCCTCTCTCCTCACAACAGCACCCTAGCCCTGGGAAGCATCCCCCCAGGAGGAGGAGGCTGAGTGAGGCCCCGCCCATTGGCCCTCACTTCTGCCTGCCTGAGCTGGGCTGGCCCAAGCTCCACTCTGGAGAAAATAAATAAAAAGGCTCAGGCAGAATCTGTGCTGGGCCAGCCAGACTCTCTGCCGCCCAGGGGCCAGGCAGCTGGGCCCTCAGAGCATGGGCAGGCCCTTGAATGTCAGTCTGTGAGCTGTGTAGGTGTGTGGAGACCCTTCCCCATAGGCCTGAGCTGCCAGGGTTACAAGTAGGTGTCCTCACTCTCCTGGGATGTCAGGCTCTCCTGGGAGTGGTGGTGGACTGAATCCTGGGAGTGGTGGCAGGCTGAATCCTGGGGAGCTGAGTCCTGTGGGGCTGGGTCCAGGTGGGCTGGATCCTTCAGGAGCACATTCTGTGGGGGACACACATCTCCCGCAGCGGCTGCCACCTTGGCTTGACTTGCGGTTGGGGGCTTATCCAGCTGCCCACTTGCCTTTGCCTGCTTCCACTGCTCCTTCTCCTTCTGGATCTGTTTGGGTGGCTTGGGCTTGCCTTTGGAACCAGGGAGGGGGGCATCTGGGGGCAGGCGGATAGATGGTGAAGGTTGCAGCATGGGCCGGGGGCCTGGCTCCGCCTCCATGATGGCCTTGGCACCATGCAGCCTGGGTGGGGAGCAGCACTGCAGCTCACCCCGAGTCTCCTGCCAGCGCCGCAGCTGAATGAGGTGTTCACGCTCAATCTGGCGCTCTGTCACCGGCAACTCTACCACCTGTGTGGGTAGTGACAGTAAGATGGGTAGCAGGAAGAAACTTCCCCTCTACCTTCCAAATTGGCCCTGTTCTCCCTCACCATCCCCCAGCCCTGGTCACTAAAGGCTGACCCTATTCCTAGGGTCTAATGGGGGTCTGGTCCCTGTGACGATCACAAGTTCAGGCACTTGAGACCCACTGCCTCGAGGAGAAAGCTGCTCACAACTCGAGTCTACTTGCCTAAATATGTGTCACCTAAGTACAGCCCCTGAGACAAAAATCCACAAAAGAAAGAAAAAAGGGAAAATAAACCCAAGGCCATGGATGTGGTACCAGGGAAGAAGAGAGGGTAATGAGTCACAGCTCCTCTAATTCCCAAGTGGTTCAGAACAGGGAAGGCCCTGCAAACCTAGGCCTCCGTGTGCCCCTGTCTTCTCACTAAGACAGGAGGAGAAGGTCTACCCACACCATCCTGAGCTGCTGAGCACCAGGCCTGGCACCAATAACCCACCTTCGGCCAAAGTTACCAGGCTGCTCCTAAAGGGCCCCCACATCTCCCACTCCCACCCAGGGGTGATGGGAGGGTGTGGGCCGCACCTCCTGGACCAGGAAGGCCTCCTGCATGATCTTGGGGCTGAGGCTCCGCAGTTGCTCGATAGTCTCGTACTGGCCCTGACAGGCTTTGAGCTTTTCTGGGGAGCCCAACGCATGTTTCAGCAGCACCAGCCCCACCCGGAAGATGATCTTGACTCCTGCATGGGGGGTGGTAAAAGGGCCTGTAAGGAATTTCTCTGAAAATAGAGGCTCCCTGTGGGCTAGGTTAGAGGCAGGGGTGTCCCCCACAAGCCCAGCCCATTACCTTCACAGAAGAACATATCCCAGACGCGCAGCACAGAGCTCCAGGGCAGGGTGCGGGCAAAGGCACACATGAACCACTCTGTCATGTATAGCAGTGGGTCGATCTTCTGCCGGCTGAGGTGTTTGTGGGCCACAGGTGACACCTTCTGCAGCAGTGAGAAGAGGATCTCCCCATCCAGTTGGATTGCCTCCTGGGGGACACAGTGAAGCTATGGGGCCAGGACTGTAGGCTCGAAGCAGGCAGGCCAGACTACGCTCTGGTTTCCAGTACCAGGCAGGCATTCATTCATCCCTCAGGCAGCTACTGCCTGCCGGGAGCCAACCTTTTGTTGGGGACTGGGATACACTGAAGAGCAAAACAGACCTAGCTGGTCCACCTCACGAAGCATGTGTGGAAAGGGGCAGACAGATGAATCACAGGAGCAAAGAGACTGGGGGCAGGACAGGCGCTGGTGGGGGAGGTGGCTAAGTGCCCAGAGTATGGCAGAACCAGGAATGCTGGATTAGCATGTGCCAGAGGTCCCACCTACAGGGTCACAAAAAGCTCCCTGAGGGCTTAAAGCTGAAGGAAAGGAGGGGTTATTACAGGAATGAAGGGAGTAGAGGTTTAAACCTATGCCAAGGCTGAGGCAGGGAGGAACTTGGTGCTCTGGAGGAACTGAGACCCTGAAAAGCAACCAGACATCTAGAAGCAGAGATAGAAGCCAGGGTGGAACCGGTAACTCTGGAGCCTAGAAGACCTGACTTTGGAAGGCCTTGGGTCTTCAGCCTTGAAAGCAACAGAAGTCTGGGAAGATTTTTAAGCTAGGGCAACAGTGGCTGTGGAGAGAAAGGTCTGGAGAGGCCACAAAGGTCAGGTTCCAGGCCTGGTCTGGACCCAGGAAGCACTTACCAGTTTCTCACTGTAGTAGCCAGGCAGGTACTTCTCACAGATCTGCACCAGGCAC